CCCCACTCATATAGCATAGGGGGGTTCTAACTGACTTTCGTCTGCCCAACAAGTTTAGCCAACCCTGTTGATGAAGAGTCATTAAAAAAAACAGAGACCAGGAACCAGGAACCAGGAACAAAAGGCCAAGGTGCCGAAAGCCAAAGCTTTAAAAACGACGAAATAGTCTTTTATGTGGCTGTCTACAGCTCCCCTGTTCATCGCTCTCGAACCTGGTAAATATCGCAAAAGAGATAGGGTTCAAATGAGAGATCAAGCTGTAGAAATGAGAGATCAAGCTGTAGAAAAGCTGGACTGAAGAAGCTAGGAACAGCGGTATATTTGCTGCTGCATAGTTAATCAGTGCAGATAACAAAGGCACCCTTTCTTTTCTTGCGCAGTTTCAAATTCAAAGATCGAAAGATCGTTCTATTCCCCGTAGCAATTGCTAGAGCGAATTGATGAATATCGTAATAGTCCAGTCCCTCATCGAAAGATTCGCAGGAAGAGAGGAGCGGGTGCGACGAATAGCTACACCATCCGCCGTTCTCTCCTTTCAGCATATATCTTCTCCTCTGGGAATTAATTCTGCAAGAGCAGGACAGAAGAAAAAGCCTGAAATCTTTTAAGCTTTTTAGTCCCGACCACAAAAGTAAATAAAAAAGAAAAAAAGAAAGGAAAGAAAGAAAAGAAAAGAAAAGAAAGAAAATAAAAAGAAAGAAAGAAAATAGAAAGAAAACAACAACCCCCGGCATCTTCCTCCGCCAACGCTCGTTTTTACAGATGCGTAAACCGCTTAGCTGGGCATGTAAGAGTTAATGTTCTGTAACCTGAAATGAGCAAAGGTGTTTGCTTTTGCCAGTGCTTCTCGTTCAGCCGTGTCTGTGTCATGTTTAAAACAGGATTTTGGGTCGGGGGGTAACTAAGGAAAAGAGGGCGGAGAGAATTAAAGATAATATATAACTTATAGCATGAAGGTTGGAATGCATAGATTTGTTGAAAGTCTGGGACGGTGGTGTTGCGCGAGCTTCCCGTCCATACATTCCATACATATAAGCTTGGTTGTTTTTAGGAATGCCCTTTACCTGGGAAAATGGCTGGGGATTCTGTAAAAAAATGCGGTCTGAATAGCTGCCGGGTGTGTTTGATGGAAGCGATATTGCCTGGCAGGTGTTACATAGGTCGGACGCTGTCTCACAGGCAAAGGGAGGAAAGTTTCTTGGTCGCGCCTATAGCAGCTCTTTTTTTTTTTTTTTTTTTTTTTTTTTTTTGGATAGCATGGAATTAACACCGCATAACTACTCCGTTCATGCCGTAAGTTTATGCGGCGAAAACAGTCGTGCTGTTGAACCTAGTAAAGGATTGGTAGTGGGGAGCTCAGCTAACCGACAGACGGACGTATGAACGTATTATTAGTTAACTAGTTTATATGCTCACCGAATACTCCGTATTCACAGCAGGAATATTTCAATAGGAACCCAGCAATAAGGAAAACCTTCCCCTCCCTATACATATCATCCTGCCGAACAAGCGGAGACATCGTGCCTTGCAACATGAAACGACAAGGAAAAATGAAATCGTTAATGCGGAGTGCAAGTCGTAACTGTCTGGAATCCTTGCCTTGGAAGGAGAAGGATTGCGAGTTATGGAGCTGCATTAACTAACGCTCGGTTTCATCATCATCATCATCATTGGAGACCGTTGCTTTTCCATTGGCGTTGCAGACAAATGTTTCGGTTTCTTTTTTCGGCCACACCTAGTGTATGCGGGATCCTTCAAAACCTCGTTAACTCGGAGT